GAATGTGGCAATGGCTGATAACATCGCTTATTTTGACCGGTGGCTTGCAGTTTTCAACTTCTATTACACCTAATTACCATTTAATGATGCTCCCTTTGCATCATCGTCAATTAGCAAACTGACTTCCAGGATCCAAAATGGATATGTGTGTGTGTTGGAAGCAGGTCAGACGTAAACTGTTACACACTATATGAAGGCTTTGAACGGTTTATCTAGACCTAGCTCGTAAATATTAAAGGGATGTATAGGCATTAAACAACTCTGTTGTCACACTTCCGTCTTCCAAAGGGGGAGGGGGGGATAGCTCGGAACTACCTTCCGAGCATACAGTCCCTTGAATCTGCCGCCATTTGAGAGCATAAGGTGACACGAAATAGGTCAAATGCTTCGTATCAACCATCAAGAGATTTCAAGCTTGCTACCGGTCGTCAAAGGTCAATCTTTGTCAAAATGACCACATGCAGGAGTCTGCCAGTCTCTGCCGGTGGTCGCTGCATGCTGCTTTACACGTATCTCGGGCAAAAGCAAACTTCAAAGCAGCGCGGGTTTTTGCAGGCGGACCTACATTGAACTACACTGAACTCCAAATCAACAACTTGATGAGAATTAGTTCTCTTGTAAATACATGATCCACCCGAAGAGAATTCTTATTGTGCGCTCGCCTCCTCGCAAACTTCAACATGTCTACCTGTTGAAAAGACGCCATCAGCGCCTTCGCCACCCCTGACCCACAGTTGAAATCCATACATGGCTCAGCAGTATGATGCTACACGGGGTTTCGAAATATTTCTCGTTTCACAGATGTCGAAATGACAGGTCGAAGGGAATATGCAAAAGAGTCAAAGGACTACACGTCATTCAACAGGTAGGCTGGAGATACCCCTCGAAGTAGACCACGGTTGGTATAAGCGATATCCAGACTAGTGCGCTGCTCTGGATTTAGCTACGCGTTGTTAAATGAGATTTGGCCCTGGTTTGGATTGCCTTGGAAAATGATCAAGTTCCTCACATAAGAAGATGATTCTCAAGAGCAGCAACACAGCAATCTCTTGCGGCAGCTCGTCAACCCCCTAGCCCTGATATATTTATGATCCAAGTATTATCTGACTGATTTAGGTACTGTCTGATTGATAATGAACCTGTGACAAAGTTCCATGGGCGTTTTTATGTTCGATAAAAGGAAACGGCTCGGGTAACGGCAATAAGACCCGTCACCTACATCCTTCCATCTACTGGGACAGCCAGTCGGCGACAATGTACACACTACAAATCTCTCTCAGCCACACAGGTGGGAAACAGTCAATGGAGCTGATTACCGAACCTTGTTCCGGTATAGGGAGGCCACGTCATCAAAGAAGTGTTCCATTTCTTGGCAGCAAATTACACGCAACCTGAAAGCGGTACGCACTAGTAATTGAGGGCATTCAGAACGTGGCTCAGCCCGTGTGAGCACGGCAACGATCCCGTTCGATGCCCCACATATGCTAGAGGGGCCAAAGCCCACTTACATGTTCCTTCGTTGATCTTGATGGCGGCTGTCGATCTCTTAGTGTTTGGAAGTGCCGCACAGTTGTGGTAGTTGGTGTTGATGTTGCAGGCGAGATGGCAAGAATGTCAAATCTGTGGGTGCGGCACTGGCATAGAGCCCTGAGACTTGCATATCTTGTGCCAACAAAGCCTTTGAAGAGCTTCAAGGAACTCGAGAATGCAACGTCAGTGGTAGGAGGATGCTTAAAATAGAAAAGAAGACTAAAGATGACAGCCAGGCTCAGCCAACGGTAAGGCTTTAATTGCCGGCCCACGGCATTCTGGAGTATCCTGCGCCATCTGCCCGGCCACCAAATCCGGGGTTGACGCCATGTAGCCTGCATTGGAATGCAAAAGGCTCGGTTGAAGATGCCGGATAGCGCGGGCAAGAATGTGGTGGCGATGCCACAAACGGTGAGTGTGGGTCGGGAAGGTCGGCCGTCGGAGCCGATCACGGCACGGAACCAAGATGCCGGGCGGGGCCGTGTCTACCGGTCAATTGTCCCCCGTGCGCCCCTGGTCAGTGAGTAAAATATTCCTCCCCCCGCCAAGAGTCAAATAAGATGGGGGCCGTTTGGTGAGTGAGGTAATAATTTGCATGTGGGGGCCCAGCATGGGGATGCGAGTCTATCACAATCAAGCACTTGTGCTGGACAGGACCCATTCACCCGGCCGAAATACGATGTGCTGGGCCGCTGGCAAGTGCAATCTTTTGAACCCCATCGTAAAGAGCCAGTCACGGGGACGACAGTGATGGGGCATCAAAAGTGGTTGACTTCTGGCGGAGTACCACCTGCGAGAGGATTTCCCTTCGTGTTCAACGGGCCCAGCGGCTCCACGGCACGAGGGACACCCGCGTTTTCCATGCCATGCCGTGACATGCGATGCACTGCCCGCAGCCGCCGTAGTCTCGTGCCTTGCAGCTGGTAGGGCGCTACTACTGACACTAGTCGATGGGGGCAGAAGGGAGGCAAACGAACGAGGTGATTTGTGTTCCTGGATCTCGTATAGTAGCACGAACTTGTGGCATAGAACACTGCCAATAAGGTACGGTGGCTTGTGAAAGAACAGCGCCGGAGAACCATTTGCGCATCGACGGGGCTTCGTCATCTCCACCAACATAGCCTAGAAAGTCAGCCGCAAGAAACCTAAGCCCAAAAATCCATTTGGCGGTTGGACCAGTCGCCAGCCAGGCCATCCAGATCGGGAGGTTGTCGGGTTCACGTGGTTGGTAGTGCGTGGAACAAAGAACCAAGTTGGGTGCTGACCAAAGGTAAAATCGTCTCAAAACGACCGTCTCTGGTTTCCCGAGTGCGTTCTTTGGGGAAGAGAGTTACAGAGACAGCGGTTTGCCCGAGCGTTGAGGCGGTTTTGGCTCGCAACAAAGGCAGATGTACCAGGCGGACCCTGGAAAAGTAGCGTAGAGATGACACCATGCTGAGGTGAAAACATCGGATATGTTCAGTGGTGGAAGGGGAGAAGAATGCGAAAGTTCAGAATTGGCCGTGGTTCGTTCTGACAATCAATCCACTTCGCCCGTCCCCCGTGTCTCAGAGTCTCCTGTTGGCTAGTCGGGACGCATTGTCCTGGGAAAGCTTGAACATGTATGTCTCACACGGTTTCGAAGGGGACTATCTCTTCCGGGAGTTGTCTTTCTGAATGGTGACGTTGAAAGCAGACTCGGACCTGTCACTGAAAACAACATCAGCTTCCATGACCAGTGTGTCCAACAAATATTGAAAGACGGTGCCTCTCGGGCGCATGTCGTCTGTTCGTAAGAGGAAGGCCCAAGAGATGGAGCCCTGCAGCATGGGAATGGACCCCCAGCGGCCCTGCAGATAAACGAGCCCGAGGACCAACAAGGAGATTAGTTTAGGCTGGGAAAGTAATGAGAAGCCAAGCTTTAGCACATGCAGATGGGAGAAAGTGGGCGACTAGTCAGCGCCCCTCGCTCTCGTCCACTGATTTGCTCGTCGAGTCGTTGCGAATTGCCCATGTCTGTTCAGTCTACGCCCGGATCAGCGAGTTGTCCGGGCCATCCCATGTTCTTTTCTTTCTCTCGCTTCTCTCGCGTTTGGGACTTTTGACTGTGGAGAGAGGGGCCGTCTCTGACGCTTCCCAGCCCTGTAGGTGTGTGAGAGAAGGGCCTTGCTTCAGGAACTGTGATGCCGAGAGGCTGTGTGTGTGTGTGTGTGTGTGTGTGTGTGTGTGTGTGTGTGTGTGTGTGTGTGTGTGTGTGTGTGTGTGACCTCGCGAGTACGCAGTAGAGAGTTTGTATGGCGGGTGTGGCTGGACAACAAACGGAAAGAAAGGCAATTAGTAAAAGCGGACTCTAGGCAAAGTCGCGAGCTAATGACGGCGATCTGTCGAAAAGTGTGGTTGTAAAGATAGGACCGTTGGTCTGGAAAAGTCGACGACGGGGGCTAAGGCCGCCTGCGAGACGGAAACCAATTCGACTTGTTTTTGACTCGGAACAGGGGGGCGCAGAGGCAAAGAAGCCAATGGATGGGCTGGACAGGTGAGCAGAGATGAGACGGTGATGAGAGAGCAAGCCTCAAGGTCCGGGAGACTTGGAGGGGGAAAAGTCGCCGCAGTGGAGGGAAGTGCCGGGGACTCGAGATGGGACGGAGGGACATGATTGTCCTTGTTATTCTATCCTTTTCTTTGCTTGTGGCGGTACCTAACGAGGTATACTTGTTTACCGTTCTTACCGTGAGGTAAACCGTAAAGTATCACGGTAAAGGTACGGAGTAAAAAGGGTACATCGAGGGTGGGAGAGAAGAAGGTGCAAAGGTGGGAGAGATTGTGTGACGCTAGGCCGAGATGAGACAAAAGCAGTGAGCATCGTATCCAGCAGGCGGGAGCCAAGGTGCCTTTTCCATTTTTAATTTACATGTCACGACTTCCCTCAGTTCCCTCCGCTGTGTCAAGTTTCGCCGTTGCTCCTCCTTCTTATTACTATTACTTGCCTCCTCTTATCAGCCCAGAACCTGTCTGTCGCACCTGGTCTTGCTTCCCTTTTCTCTTTCTACGAATCCGACTGGAGAACTCTCGCCGTTTGCAGTCTGCAACACTCGCTCGACAGAGTCGCGCCTGTAATTGTTCGTCTGTGTATTCCTGAAGGAAGAAAAGCACCGTACACTCGCACACACCCTCCTCCGACCACTTCACACCTCGTTCCTCTTCTTCGATTCTCGTCACTCTCTCAAATCACATCCACAAATCCACAGAAGAATTGTTTCCTTTTTGGACTCTTTTTTAGTGTCTCAATTCTCTTTTTCTTGCCTTGGCTCACCACAAATACCCACATCTCGACGCTCTCTTGGATTTCGTCCCACCTTTTAGACTAAAAGGCACGACCAAACGAGGAATAACGACTTCACCAAATACTTCTACGACTACACGTCTAATACCCTACGCCTACCAACCCAACACTACTACCTCGAGATAATCCTGCCGCCAGCATCGCAGCCATGCTTGTAAGTTTTGACCCTTTTTATTTTTATTTTTCTTTCTTTATCCCTTCTTCATGGCGTTTCCTTCCATTGGATCGTTTGACCCAGCCGACCGGTCCAATCGTTGCAGCAATCCATCGCGCGGCGTCGATCAGGGCGCAAGAGACAAGCCAAGTTCCTTTCCTGTCGGTTCATGTGGAGAGACATCCCCATGGGCCATCGCCGGAATCCTGCACATTGGCGACGCCACATTCTGTCGATCCCCCTCCCCCTCATGTTCCTGCTCTCTTCCTTCTCCAAGACATGCTGCAACACCAACATAACCGTGTAACCTTAATCTAATTTGGCGCCAACCTGCAGGTCCAAACTGCCCTCGTCGCATTGAGTGCGACTCTGGCTGCCGCTGTCAAGCCCCTCACCGTCAAGGGCAATGCCTTCGTTACTGAGGGCGGCGAAAAGTTCCAGATCGTTGGTGTCGACTACCAGATTGGCGGCAGCGCCGGTTACGACCCTTCTCACGGCCGTGACCCCCTCAGCGATGGTGACATTTGCTTGCGCGATGCTGCCCTTCTCCAGCGTCTGGGCGCCAACGCCATTCGCGTCTACAACCTCGACCCCAACCTGAACCATGATGCTTGCGCTTCCGTCTTTAACGCAGCTGGCATGTACATGATTCTCGATGTCAACTCTCCCCTCGTCGGCGAGAGTATCACGAGCTTCGAGCCCTGGACCAGCTACTACGCTGCCTACCTCAACCGCACCTTCGCCATCGTCGAGGCTTTCAAGAGCTACCCCAACACCCTCGCCTTCTTCTCCGGTAATGAGGTCATGAATAACGTTCAGACGGCCGAGTTCGTTCCCCAGTACCTCCGCGCTGTCACTCGCGACTTGAAGAACTACATCGCCAAGCACTCCGACCGCGCCATCCCCGTCGGCTACTCCGCTGCCGACGTGCGCGAGATTCTTGTCGACTCCTGGAACTACCTGCAGTGTGCGGAGAATGGAGACGCCAAGGACCCCAGCCGCATCGACCTCTTCGGCCTCAACTCCTACTCGTGGTGCGGTGATTCCAGCTTCAAGACCTCCACCTACGACCAGCTCGTCTCCAGTCTGAAGGACACCTCTGTGCCCGTCTTCTTCTCCGAGTTTGGCTGCAACCAGGTCACCCCTCGCCCTTTCACTGAGATTGGCTCCATCTACGGCTCCGACATGAACTCGGTCTTCTCCGGAGGTCTCGTCTACGAGTACAGCCAGGAGGACAACAACTATGGCCTCGTCAAGGTCAACGACGATAAGTCCGTCAAGCTGCTCATTGACTACCAGAACCTTGCCACCCAGTACAAGAAGGTCGACTTCAAGACCCTGCAGGCCACCAAGGCTCCTGCCTCCTCCCCTGACCCTCCCAAGTGCGCCTCGTCCCTGATCAAGGAGAAGGGATTTAACAACAACTTCACCCTGCCGGCCGTTCCCCCTGGTGGTCAGGACCTCATCGACAACGGTATCAAGAACAAGCCTTCGGGCAAGATCATCTCCATCTCCGACTGGACCGTCAAGCACAAGGTTTACGATGTTGATGGAAAGACGGAGATCACTGGCCTTGCCGTCTCCCCCCTTGCCGACTCCGACTCCAATACCCCCGGCACTAACACTGGCGGTACCACTATCCCTGCTGCCACCGGCACCTCCACCCCTACTGGCACTTCCACTCCTTCGTCGAGCACTACCCCCAATGCCGGCATCGCAATGCGCCCCGAGGTTGCCGCTCTTGCTGCACCTCTGCTTGCTCTTTTGTTCTTGTAAAAGCTCTGGAAGCGTACGCTGGATGTTGTATGTGGCTCATTAGGAAGGTTTGGAGGTAATGACTTGGTTTCTTTCTGGCATCATAGATTCCCCGCGGTTTGTTTATGAACCTCAATTGATACTTATTAAGACTTGAGTTATGTCACATGTGATGAATACTTGAATATTGTGCATGCTAAATCCTTCCAAGTGGTGTAACTTGAGATTGGCGATGGTTCGCGATCGTGTACCTCGCAATGGTTTGAGAGACGTCTTTAGAAATCTTGATGAAGGAACTCACGTCTGAGATGGCCCATTCCATATCGACATACCTTATATTAACGAGATGCCCACGGGAAACAATTGGTCGGAGGGGGCACCAAGATGCTGATAGGCTTGCTGATTCTGCCCGAAGAGCCAAGTGACCGAGATGGAGGGGCACCCATCTGTTGTCTGTTCACCTAGGATAGCTCTAAGAAGAAGAAAGAAATGTAGATTGGTAACCCCGAGTTGCGTTCCGTTCTTTCACGTTCTTTCAGCCCCCAACGTATTCGTGAATGTAGGACGTGAGCGAGATGATTAGGGGGTTGGTAGTAGAAGGAGCGAGAAGACGGAGGGGCATGAAGGAAGGAACGCGGGACTCACTTCCCTTACGATGTGGAGAGAACTTTAAACCTTTGGTGCAACTGGCAGATAGTGTGCAAGAGTAAGACCCTGGTTGATCCTATTGTAAGATAACCTGCCCGTGTCGTTGCTTAATCTGACTGAGTAAAGGCGACGAAAGCTTTTCATCAGGCTGGAACGGTTTAGCTTTATCTACTGCCTTCGCCCCTAGGTAAAGATCATCTCGGCCTTGTTAATATGGATCGTGTCCTTCTCCGACTTTTCAGAAAGAGTGTCAGAAGCTTCCCCAGAGGCCAAAAAATATGTCTCGCCTTTTTCTAGACTACCTTGTCTTCAAGGCCAATATCAAATGAGCAGCCTCTGCCCAGCCTGGCTATACTTGGGACTTATTGACAAAAATTGATCTCCCCAAGTGAGAGAAATAAAACCTAAATATGTAATGAAGAACCAGAACGTGTATCGCTCTTATTTCCTACCGTAGCTCTGGGATAATAGAGCCCCTTAACCCTGTCCTGCTAGAAGGGTCACTGCTGATCTCCCTCTGTTTTATCGGAGGTAAACAAAAAGAATAAAAAAAAAAAAAGAGCTCCAAGTGCATAACAACTCCTCTGTTCTAGACAAGGACGTTTCTCACATTCGCAAACTACCCCTGACAAATCAAGTATCATGTATCGAGATGTTGACTTGTGAGTTTATGGTGCTCTGGAACTTGCTTTTGAGAAATGAGAGAAAGTGCTCAAGTAACACCTTTTTCATTTTTGACAAGCCCAAAGCTCAAGAACAAAAATGGAAATCCGTTTATTTACGAGGGGGGGGGGGGGGCCTTTTGACACCGGCATCTCCTCAGCCCCTACTTTCTCTATTGAAGTCCCTTCCATGTCGTCCCCAATCACACGCTTCACTAGAACGTATGTAAAAAAAAGCGAATCACAAAAAAAAAGTCAAAGGGCGGAGTGCGGTAAATCAATCATTTACAAGAGTGTATACAAGTTTTGTCTAAAAAGCAAGCGAATGTGGGTTTCAGGCTGAACATTCCAAAGAAAAGTAAGAGCAAAGAATTGAACCACTTTCACAGCGACAAGAATCTGCAGACACAGGATGCCTCCAAATAGCACTTCCCCTCTTTGGCTGTGAAGTTCAACCTGCCCTTCTACTGATATACATGGGACAAAGCTAGATTCCCTCTCCCGTAATCTGATAGGTATGGTCAGTTGACTAGCTTAACTAGGAGAAAGACATTCAACGCTCCCTGATATATCTCTGATTGATAATCGAGCACACACACACACACACACACACACACACACACACACACACACACACGAGATGAACATCACTTTAATCACTTTGGGTCACAACAACATTGAAACGAGAAACAAGCATTGAACCTCTAGTCAAGATCACATTACAGAGCGTCTAATTATTTGCTCATCTGATCGTCGACCATGCCCTCCATACATACGATACAAGGACCCGGCCCTCGACCTTCCCGTCAAGAGCATTTGTTGCACCAGCCGTCATAAACACCGTAAACTTGCAAGCGTACAAGAAAGTGGGCAAGATGCCATTCCAAGTGCCAGGCAAAAACTTTCCTTTCGTCTAAACCCGTGATACCAGAACTATGGCTCTCCAAGTCCACCCCCCCAAACACACATATTTCATTTCATTTATACCGTTTAACCTCTGAACTCCTCAGCGCCGCTGGCCTCCCATCTGCCGGGGACGAGGGCCAGGGGCACGATACCGGAGACGTGCATCTCGGGGCCGAAGATCTTGGCGTTCAGGCCAAGTTCTTGGGTGGCAGCCTTCATGTTCTTGAGACCCTCCTGGTAGTTGGGGCCGGCACGGCGGACCCAAATCTGGACCTTGTGCTCGTTGAGCTGCTTGGCGTAGTCGCGGAGGGCGCGGATGACACCCTTGAATGTGCTGGCGACGTTGGTGAAGTTGGCAATACCACCACCAATGAAGAGGACCTTGCCCTCGTCGGTCAGGGGAGCGCGGAGCATGAGATCGAGGACGGTGCGGGCGTAGTGGTAGGTCTGAGACTCGGTGGGAGCACCAGAGTACTCACCGTAGTTGGCGAGCTCGTCGGCGAAACCGGAAGAGGCAATGGCATCGGCGTAGACGACGGAAGCACCACCACCAGCGACCAGAGTCCAGATACGTCCGTTGGGGTTGAGGACGGTAAGCTTGAGGGAGGCACCGGTCTTGGCATCAAGGTCGGCGATGTAAGCCTCCTCCTTGGTCAGCTCACGACCGAAGGGAGCGGGGAACTCCATCGGCGGGCCGGCATCGATGTTAACCTTCTCGCCGTTGGCGGCGGCGACGTTGGTCAGGCCAAGAGCGGCAGGGGAGCGGGCAATAGCCCACTTGACACCGCACTCAAAGTCGGCAGTCTGGTCGAGCTTGGCAGCAAGATCGAGGAAGTGCACAGAGGCGGAGGTGGCATCCTCGTTGGGGATGACAACGAGGGGGTTGATCTCGAGGTAGGTGAACTGGCACTCGACGTAGACGGCGTACAACCGGGTGATGAAGTCAACCAGCACGTTGTGAACACCCTTGGGGACCTTCTTCAACAGAGACGCAGCGATCTCGTCGTTGGAAGGGTATTGTGAAAGGTCGACGGGGATCAAGAGCTTCTCAGCCTTGGCGTCAACATCACCGACATCAACACCACCCTCGTGGGTGAACAGAATCCAGTCGCCCTATCGGAAATCCATGATTAGCATCGATGATTTGATGTAAGGGTTTTGACAGATGAGGCATAAGGGCCGCCGTGTGCATATGGCAACTTCTGCAAGAGGCATGGGTGGACGGGGTGGACGGGCCACAGGCCTCGTCTCGTGGCATCCGTTCGTCCGGTTCGGGAGAAAAATTACCGGAAAGGGCAGTCCAGCGGCCGGAATCCACTTATTTGACCCATGGATAGGAAATGCCATAAAGCATGCAAATTCCCTTTCCACGGTTGCCAAACAAAGTTTTCTTCCAGCTATTCTTACTTTCAACCGTCGATGAGTTTCACTTTGGTAGTGTGATGATGCGTTGGTGTTTTCACACCCGCGCGACTCATTGATGGATGGACTGCCCACTCCGGCCCCGCCAACGAATTGGAGAAAACCACGCCTCGCCTGTCCGCGAACCGTCTGCCGCCGCTGCTGCCACAAAGCAACCGCCAGCTCGAAGGGGGAGGAAATCTGCGACAAAACTTACATCTCTGACGGACATGATATTGATGTAGTACTCGGTGTCTTGAGGGTGGGGAACGAAGGGCTCGACGAGGAATTGGCGCAGGACACCAGTGACGGTCTCGACCTTCTGCTCCTTACCAGCACGCTCGGCGATCCAGGCGCGAGCCTCGGGCCAGGTCTTGTTGAGGGCCAGAAGACCGCTCTTGCCACGGCGCTTGATCAGTTGATCGGGCTTGGCGACGAACTTGACACCGGGCTGGAGAACCCAGGGGTAGGTGACCTCGGCCTGGTTGAGGACATCCTCGACGTTGGCATCCTCGGGGAAGTGCAGAGAGCACAGCCTGGGGGGAGGGTTGTGCTTGGTGGGGACGGGAAGAGGAGAGGCCTTGATGACGGGAGCGCGGGTGAGGTGGTAGTTGAGGATGGCCTTGCCGTCGGCCTCGAGGATGGACTTGGCGGACATTGTGGCGGTTGTGAGGTGAGAAAGAGGTGAGTTTCCTTGAGAGTTCTTTTCCCTGCTTTATTTGGCCTGAATTGGGAGCGGACTGGTCAGCAATTGCTTTTGGAAAACGAAGTGTATCTGTGTGGCTCGGAGTTGGAGTTGGAGTTCCACTGCCCGCCAGCCAGCAGTAGACTTTCTTTCAGCTGGCTGAGCTTCTGGGCGGAGCTTCGTGGGCGGCAAGTGTCACCACGGCAAATGCGCAAGTGGAAGACTCAATCAAGATGTGCTCGCGCCGAGCTCTAGAAGAGGGGCATTCACGATCCGACTGGAGACTCGGCTGGGATGGGGGAAAGACGAAGCGACAAGATTGAGCTTTGGAGGGGTGTTTGGCTGTGATGAGAACATACCGAGAGAGAGAGAGAGAGAGAGCAAATACAACCAGGCGACGAAGTCGAAGTCTGGGGACGAAGTTGTAGTGAAGACCTGAAATCAAGTGAATGTCAGGAATCGGATGTCGAGTCGAAGTCGGGTCGAGTCAAGCAGAGCGGTGTGTGAGGGAAGAAAGAAGCGGCGAGGTTGAAGGAGAAGTATGGATTGGGGAGTGGGAGGAATGGAGTGGAAGGAGAGAAGCTGTGCTGGAGCGTGGAGAGAGAGGGAGAAGATCGTCAGCCTTTCAAAATTTTGGATTCTGTCGAAGCTCCCAGGGATTATTTGTTGCTGGGACTTCGGGGAGAGGAAGAGCAGGAAGAGCGGACGAAGGAGGAGGG